GGCCAGTTTGGCTGTGCCCCCTCCCAGCTTCTTGTGCCCCTCCAGCCTGCTCAGTCGGTAGAGCACGGGGAGCTGAAAAGTCCTTGGCTGGTGTAAGCATTACCTAGCAACAACTAAAACATCGGTGTGTTATCAACTTTGTTCTCATCCTAAATCCAAAACACAGCACTGTACCAGCTACTAGGAAGGAAATTAACTTTATCCCTGCCGAAACCAGGACAGAAGGGAAGTTTAGATTTACAGGTTATATCCACAGAGCTGACAGCTCTTGCAGGACTGTCCCGTTGTGGTTCAACCAGCAGCACCAGAAATGCGTCCCAGTGATCTGGTTTATTCACCCATTTTATTAGGAGAATGTTCTCCGGGCTGGGTTATCAAGGAAGCAGCAAGATAGATACAGTTTTAGCTTAACTCATGGTGCCAAAATCTAATTTGCTTAAATTCTGTGTATGAAATGAGCTTAATCCTGCTTTGGGGCTCAAAACACAACTTCATTTTTCCTATATGACAGTTTCCAAAAATGTCCTGCTTGCTACCTCATAGCTGAGACCGTGTCGTCTATTTTATCTTTCGGAGGGTGGTCACAGCATGTTCAGAAGCTCCCAGAGGTGTTTTGGGAAGGGATGATGGCAACGCGTGTCTATCCCAAACATGGTAGTTACACAGACCAGCATGGAAGCCCACCTGCCTGCTGCCAAGCAGTTCTTAGTTGACTTGCTAAACAATTTAATTTTTGAGTAAACTCCCTGTTTTTCTTGTTTTTCCAGTATTTTCAAAGCAGACACACGCGAGGTGGCTTAGCCAGCGCTTTGGCCTTTCTTTGCTCCAGAGGAAACCTCGCAGGGATTTCCCAGGTACCTGCCTCGTTTGCAGATGTTGTTTTTCCACGCAGACTGCATTCCTGATGCAGGATTTGTTCCTAGGGCAGAGTTTTTTGCTCTCCCTGAAGTTCTGCAGTGTACTGTGGGCTTTCCCTTTCCTCTGTATTTTAAGACCTTTGTGTCTTCGGAGAGCTTGCATGGCTGTGTGATGATCCCCCCCCCTAGAAATGTTTGGATAGCACGAATTCAGGATGCCACTCCATTGGAAAAGTCCTGCAGGTTTTTTTCTAAGCATTATACAAAATCATGAGGACTTTGTGACAACAGCACAGAGTTTACGATGGGCATCACCACATCGGTGCTCCACAAAGCCATAGGCACGTGGCTGTGGGAAAGCCCCGGAGCAGCACAGCTTCCCAGCCTCCCGTTTCTTTCCGTATAGCTTTGTTTAGCGGTACAATGCCTGAATGAGGCTATAGGACGGGTAGTTTAGGCGATATGCAGGTAGTGGAGCATGCTGAATTGAATTTCAGACTCTTAAAGAGCTATTGTCTTACCACGTTATAAAGAAATTATCTAAAATGTCAAAGCTTTAAATCCTTGTCCTCTTGCTCAGCCCGGTAATGAAGGGCACTGTTAGTCTCTCCACCACTAACACTCTGCCAAGGCAACGGTGTCTTTACCGTCCCACTGGAACTGGAAGCAGCTTTTTAAGGGAGGAGAAGGCATTATTGTACTACAGGCAGTCACGCTCCACGGTGTTCGGTAGGATTTGTTGGTTTATTGAAGCTTATAAGAAAGGTCACCCACCTGAACAAAAGCCCTGGCAGAGCACTGGGTACCTGAAGACGTTGTCCCCGACTGTACTGAATCCACAGAGAAATTATAGAGGCTCTGAAATGGAAGCATGTTATATGACATCCTTAATCCGAGTGCTCTCCTAGAGAAGGTAAATACAACTTGTAAAGTACTTCGAGGACAAACTTCGTCTGTGTCTGAGTACCGTGGCCCCCGTCTCCATACGGACACAGTTTGTGTCCGATGCTCTGTATACATTTTTCCCCACCCACTAACACCCCCGGTTCCTCGCGTAGAGGAACAGAAGGGGGGTATTGCCATCAAAAACTACTTCAGCCCTAATCCCTCGCGAGTCCCCTTCAAGTTAATGAGCCATTTATGTCTGTACCATATGGGGAAGTAAAATAAGGCTAATAATCCTGCTTTTATATTCAGCCAGATGAATCCCCCTGTACAACTCGTATTTATTGTGTAAGCTGTAGATACAGGAGGCATCACTCTCCCCAAGCTGAACTGAAGCAAGGTCTGGGGGGGGCGTGTGAGGCGTAAACTTCACAGACTGACATGATTCATAAATGTTTGGGAAGTAAAGAATAGTTCCCGGGTGTGCTGGCGATGCTTCTGGATGTGAACCTGCTCTGCTGCGTCACCGTGTGCTTTGGGACCACGGTGCAGTGCCCGGCCAGCCCCAGCCACATGTGTGCTGGGTGACGGGGCCAGGGCTACAATCCGTTTAGGCACCTCCAGGGCAGCAGAAAGTCCTTCCTATGGGAGCAGGGAAACTGAGGCAAAGAAGAATGGGACAATTTTGTGGCTCGCAGCTATCCATTGGGGAGCCCAAGGGTGGCACGATGTTTTCCTGACTTTTTCTAGGTGCTGTTTATTAAACTGTCCCAGAGCAGCCTGGCTGGGTGAAGCACAGTTCATGGAGTGAAAAAGAGCCAGCACGACTGACGGTCCTGCTGGAGTGGGACGAAGACCACGGCTTTACTGCTCGCCCGGACCCGCGGGGTGAAAGCGTCCCAAGTACTGAGGTTGTTCAAGGGCCACGTGAGATTGATTTATTTTATTTTATTTTCATTGACAAAACGACTAGCCAAGAGTAAACACAAAGGAGGGAGAAGCAGAGCAAGCAGGCCAGTACAGGGACAGCAGCTGCCCGTCGGGAAGGCTGCTCTCCCGGCGGAGCAGGAGCGGGCTGTCACGGCAGGCTCCCCTCCTGCTGCCTGCGCCCCAGGAACGGGCAGGGCAGGGCCGAGCCCAGCCCGTGGGGCAGCAGGGCCAGGGACCGCCCGCGAAACGCCAGCTGCTCCTACCTATATACACACCCACCCTCTACACCCACGTATCTATACATACACACACCCCTCTATGTATAGATACACACAGCTCTATACTCACACCCCTCTGTGTGTGTGTATATGCATATGCATGCCATATATACATACACATCTATGTATACATACATATACTTATAGATACACAGCACCTATATATACACACACCTGTATATATGTACATACATATCTACATAAACACACACATACCTCTATACAACCCCCATGTATATATACACACAATCTATACATACATGTATACATAGATGTACATCCTCCTCTCTCTCTCCACACAGAGAAATTTATATCTACGTGCATCTATTGACACCCAATGATATATATATATACACACACACGTATATACACACACAGACACAGATACACGCCTGCATAGCCACCCATCCCCATATATATACACACACACGCACACATATGCAGATATATAGACACACAGACACATATCTAGGTACACTACGCACACACCCCCATTCATACACACCTATATGTATACATACACATCTACGTGTACATGCAGATACATCTATAGACACCCCCCCATACTACACCCTCCATGTGCGTGTGTTTGTGTGTGTGTGTATACACACGTGCCTATATATATATATACACGTGTGTCTCCCCCCATACACCCCCCCCATACAGCCCCCCATAGCTACATACACATCCACACCTCTCCTCAATATATGCACATCTACATATACCTGTGCATGCTCCACACCTCGCGCCTGCCCTCACAGGTCCCCTTTGGGCTCCTTCGCCGCCCGGCCGCAGCTCCAGCCCCGCAGCGGCACCTCCTGCCCCGGCCTCTGGGCCCCTCTGCCTGCCCCTGCCTGCGGCAGCCCGGGGTCCTCGTCCCCTGCCCGCCCCTGCGCTGCCCAAGTGAATCGAGAAGCGGGATGAGAGGATGCGGTGCCTGATCCGGTGTCCGTATGTCAAGCCATAACGATATTAGTCATCATTACGTTACATCTTCTACACCCTTTTTATACGGGAGC